ACACAGTTCTAGCTTCTTAGTTTCTACCTGCTTTGGGAACTGATTTCATCACCCACAAAAAGACGAAATTTCTTGGGGGGAAACTTCTACAAAAAGAAGAGGCTCCTCATTCATATCCAAAGAGGTGTCAGTGAAAAGAGAAGATGGAATTGTGGACAGAAATAATCCATGATGAAGCAACTGTGAGTGTGGGCAGGGGGAGAGAAAGTTCTGAGATTCTGTGAGAATCAGTAAGTACAGGTAGGTTCATATTCAGTCTCTCAATGTGGCTAAGTCAACTGATTAAAAATGAAAATATCAGTTTCTCTTAGACTTATGGTTTCACACCTGTGAAACCAAACTCAAGTGACAGGTGTGAAATTCCACCTAATTTAATCTTGATGCACAATATTCATTCAGTCAGGAAGTAGAACAAGCATGGCTGACTCACAGGTCTTTTATTTCAAGTTTTGGATTTCAAGGTGTGCTCGAGCTATCATTTCTCCCACCCCCAAACATGACACAGGTATTAATAACAACTTTAGAACAGAGGTCCACAGACAGGTATACTGATTTAATGTTTCCTGGAAGTATTTACTGATACCAAGATTAAGGGATATATTGTCAAGGATTCTGCAATCTGGTCAACAGATACTAGTCAGTGTCTGGGACACAGCTCACCACGTTAGTTGGTGAAGTCAGGATGTTTCCAGTAAGCCATGCTAGAGAACATTGTTATGCTTGCCTGAAAACACGATTCTGAAGTAATTTCCAAAAGTCCCATAAATAAAAATCACTTTAGGCCAGAAACTACCTTGGCGAGATCAGAATATGAGTTGGACTCCCATTTTTAAAAGAGGTAGAGGGGGGAAGTGACAATTTCCTATTATGAAGTTCTATTAAATTTTTTAAATCTGGAAAGTAACTCAGTTTATGTATTTTTTTATGCAGAGGACCACACTGAATTTGGCATTAGAAACCTGTTCTGAACCAGATGGTGAAGTGTGGGGGCCAAGGGCAGGCTGCCCCCAGACAGACCACTTTGGCATGAAGATTATTTTGAGTTAAAAGCAATAAGTGGGGTTCCTGGGTAGTTCAGTGGGTTAAGCATTGAACTCTTGATTTCGGCTCAGGTTATGATCTGAGGGTGTGAGATACAGCCCTACACTGGGCATAGAAAAAAAAAAAAAAAGCAGGTGTCTGAGTAGCTCGGTTGGTTAAGTGTCTGCCTTCAACTCAGGTCATGATTCCAGAGTCCTGGGATCAAGTCAGGCATTGGGTTCCCTGCTCAGCAGGGAATCTGCCTCTCCTTCTCCCTATGTCCCTCCCCGCTGCTGCTGTGTGCTGTCTCTCTCAAAATCCTTTTTTTTTTTTTTTTTTTTTAATCAATCAGGGACGCCTGGGTGGCTCAGCAGTTGGGCGTCTGCCTTTGGCTCGGGCGTGATCCTGGGATCCGAGATCCAATCCCACATAGGGCTCCCTGCGGGGAGCCTGCTTCTCCCTCTGCCTCTGCCTCTATCTCTATATGTCTCAAGAACAAACAAATACATCTTTAAAAAGTAAAAATTAAAAAAATTAAAAAAGCAATCAAGGGGCACTTGGGTGGCTCAGTCAGTCACATGTCTGCCTTCAGCTCAGGTCATGATCCCAGGGTCCTGGGATAAAGTCCCGAGTGGGGCTCCTGGCTCAGTGGGGAGGCTGCTTCTCCCACTCCCTTTGCTGTTCCCCTTGCTTGTGCTCTCGGGCTCTCTCTCTTTCTCTGTCAAATAAATAAATAAAATCTTAAAAAAAAAAAAGCAGCAATTAAAACCCAGCAGATTCAGGAAAACCTCTTTACCTCCCCCGCAATAGTCTATAAAGAATTTACACAGAGGACCTGCTCCAGGAAGAGAGCTATCACCATAGCTAACTACACTGACATGAATTAGGTGTGGTAGACAGGGAGGAACCTGGCAAGGCCCTTCTGATCAAAGTTCTCTATGTCCCATAGTTTCTGAGTGGCCCAGCAAGACATTTACCAAACACTTAATCTTTTTCACTTTAATTTTCCTGTGAATTCATTCTTTCCCTTTGAAGTCCCAGACCCCTACCTTCTTCCCCTTAATTCAGAACGACACCATAAACCTCATTTTGCCTGACTGTCCTTTGGAATTTCCAGGTCTGTGTGGATTCCTCATAGGTATTGATTTTCTGTTGTTAATCTGTCTCATGTCATTCTGATTCTCGATCTGGCTTGAAGTACTTTCAAGGCGACAGGAAATTCTTGCTCCCCAACAGAAGTATTCCCAGTTGGCCAGGGCCAAACCTTGTGTCTTTTTTAAAACCCCAACAAATACAGGGAAGAAGCATATGGACAAAATGCCCTCTTGGTTGGACATTTCTGCTTTTAACCACCAGCATAATTTTTAGGGTACAACTGAGAAAAAACGAGATACTAGATTTCCTCATTCTCATCTCTTAATCATGTGTGTAAATATGCAAATTCACATTCCATCACCTCTCTGGCCTTTGTCTGCCTGTCTGAGAGGGTCTCTCTCTGTCTCTTTTTCCCTCACTCCCTCTTTCACATACACACACACCACAGAGTTATAAATTATCTGAGAGGACTTCAAATATCTGAGGATATAATTCTGGTTTGGGCACTAAGCTATTTTCTTTAGGTAAATATCTATGTAGTTTTACACAAATTTCCATAAGCCAAAGTATTGATAGAAGAGTGATATCTTTATGACAAGAGCCTTAATTTAGAACAACAGTTAGCATTTGTTCTTTGGATCACCTGCACCTAAAAAACCCAGAGGGTTTGTTAGAAATGCAGATTCCAGGATCTCACTCCAGATCCATTGAGTCTGGATCTTTGGGGGTGGTCTGCATTTTAAATAAATCCCCAGGTGATTCTGAGGCACGCTAGCACTTGCTACCCATTGTTTTGATCACTGGTAAAATTACAGCAAACATTCCCACCATGATTTCACAAAGTTTAGAACAGAACAAAGGTCTCCCAAAGTGAATCACCTGTATCCTCTGCATTTCAGAATCACATCTTAATACTTGTTGATTTTTGGACGGCAAGCCAAAGAAGGGAAAAGCAAAAAGTCGATGTATTTGTGATAAATCATTTCTGCTATCAGATGCATGTTATTCAACAGACTCTCCCATGGAAGTTGCAGGTTCAGGGACACCTGGGTGGCTCAGCGGCTGAGCATCTCCCCTTGGCTCAGGTCATGATCCTGGGGTCCTGGGATTGAGTCCTGCACTGGGCCTGCTTCTCCAATTTTAGTATATGTGCTGCCGAAGCGAGCACTGGGCCTGCTTCTCCCTCTGCCTGTGTCTCTGCCTCTCTCTCTGTATTTCTCGTGAATAAATAAATAAAGTCTTATTGAAAACAAAAAAAAAAGTTGCAAATTCATAGTTTTGCAGATACTGAGAAGTCTAAATTTAGTTTACACCTAAAATTATGTTTTTCCCTTCTAGCTACAGAAGTTTATTGTGGTGTGTCTCTGCTTAGATTCTGGCATTCAGTGAATCTTCTAGAATCATTTAAAATAAGACCTTACTGATGAGCTAATGTTAAGTAAAAAGGCCAGTCACAAAAAAATCAAGTTCCAACTTTGTACATGGAGATATATAATGCGAGACTGGAAGGAAGTACCCACAAATCATCATCAGGTTTTTATGTCAGGGATAAAACTATCTCTAAATGCTTATTTCTTTAATTTAAAAATTATAATAAACACACACTTTAAAATGTTGACTTCTCGGTGAAAAATACCATCATTAGTATAATTTTAGCTTACTGTTAAATCAGCTTCAAAAGCACAAACTAAGAAAAAAATTATTTATAAGCCTGAAATCCTAATACAGCTATTTTAACTTTTTCATTTCCTTTGTACACTTTATTCACAGGCATGCATACATGATTTTAACATAATTGTCATCTTAGTTTATCTCCAAATTTGAATTGTTTTGTCTGCTTGACATTATTTTATAAACATGTCTGCACATTTCTGCATAGCTTCAGAATAATTTATAAATTAAGGCTACATTTAAAAAAAAGTTGATATATTGTACTTTACACATTCCTGTACATGGAAACATTTCTGCTATACCTAATTTCAAGTTATTATAAGTAACATAGTTAGAATCATCTTCTTATGAATTTTTTCCCTTTTAAAAGTTTTTTCCTTAGAATAAAATCTCAGCAATGGTTTTACTAGTTCAAAAGGTATAAACATTTTTATGGTTACTATGCATAACGTATTTCCCTTAAAAAAAATGTACCAATCTTTATTACCATATGAAAAAAGAACTAGATTCCTAAGAAGGCTGAGTTCCTTTTAAAAAAAAGCACTTCATTTTATTTTTGTTACCTTGCTATGTACATTACTGTCTTATTCATTTATTTATTCATTTAGTAATCTCTACACTCAATGTGGGGCTCAAACTCACTGCTCAGAGATCAAGAGTTGAATGGTCTATTAACTAAGCCAGCCAGGTGACCCTGTACATTACTGTTTTAATTCATATTCATTATAATTAATAATTTTTACATTATCAATATGCCAGGAACCATTCCAAGGGGTTTACATAAAGTCATGTTTTCCTAAAAGATAATTAAAATAAATCATCAATGTATGCAAACTTATAAAAATCTATCCTCTATATATTAGTTATAATAATAAAACTTAAAATTTCCAGAAAATAAATGATTTTATTTCTGTGCAGGTGGAAAGGCACAGAAAACTTAACTATGAAAGAAAATAACTTTTAGATTTCCCAGCACATTTATTTCTTGTACTTCAGAACAAGTTAATTTCAAGGAATATTAATCTCTTACTACTGAGAAAAATTTTTTTTTCAGGATTAGGAAGTTCATTTCATTCATACCTTCTTTCCTTAAAAATTATTAAATAAAACTTAAAAAGTCCATTGAAGGAACAGGGCTAATAAAATGCAAAGTGGCAATACTACTAATAATGTTTTTTTAAATAATTAAGAAAACCATTCAATAAACAACCTACCTGATTTGACCAAGCACATCAAACTGATGAAGAAGTATAATCTCAGCATATGGAAACTGGAGAGAGTGTGTGTCACATTCACAAGAAGAGTGATTCCCTGGGCAGAGCCTTAAGAGTTTCACTGAGGGCTTTGCTGAGAGCTCAGATAGCTAATCCAGAGGTGTGGTGACAACAGGAAGTTCCTGAGAGGGACTGCAGGCGGGTCCCAACCCTGGCAGGATATTTGACTCCTCCTCTTTTCAAAGGAAGGTTGGTAGGTTTCTGCCTTACACAATTTTATGCATATCTTTTAAATTTTTTTCTGCATATCTTAATATAATGTGTATCTGCTGAATGACGAGTTCAAAAGAGTTTCATTCTTTGTGGGCGGTTTATTAGTTGTTTGGCTTGGTATGTTGAAATCAAGTGTGATTTGAGATATTTGCCTCCCTGTTCTTGTGAATGAAACAAATGCAATGAGTCTACTGTTGGCCTGTGTACACAAAACTACTTTTTATGCTAATTCACACACTCATTCCTCATACAGCAGTCTTTAGACCTTGCTAAGAATATTTCATTAAGTCTAGTCATATACCTGTGTTTGTCCACATACGCTTCAGATTAAAAGAAATTTTTATGCCATTATACATATTTTTATTTCTTCCGATCCAGAGTTCCTATCTCTTCCTCTCCCTTTCCTCCTCCTTTTTAAAGGAAAAACAGGGATGCCTAGGTAGCTCAGCCAGTTAAGCATCTGCCTTCAGCTCAGGTCATGATCCCAGGACCCTACTTGTGTTCTCTCTCTCTCTCTCTCTCTCTCTCTCTCTCTCTCAGCCAAATAAACAAAATCTTTTGAAAAATATAAAAAAAAGGAAAAGTAAATGCAAAAGCTTTAAATAGAGAACTATGTCAGAATCCATCCACTTCAGTGTAGGAAGTAACTGAATTTGAGCTGCCACAGCAACAAGGTCATTTAATTCTCTCTCTGGTGGAAGTGCTTGTAGCACTTACTCAGGCTGGTGGGGGTGGAGGAGGGGGGGGTCTGACCAGCTGAAACAAATTTATAAATAAAGGTATGAACAACTTAAGAATATGTTGTCATCCAGAGCATCAGGCAAAAGCCACTCATCATTTAGCATTGTCTACTTGAAATAGGTATTTATGAAGCAACAGCATCTCTCATGTAATTTAACAGTTTTCTTTATCTGCCCTCCAGCAATGCTTCCCAAAGAGTTGGATTCCCCCCCCCCGGGGGGGGCCTTCAAAGTATTGCACGTAGATTCTGTGTCAGCCCTCAAACCTGATGAATGCCAAGACCCCCAAGCAGTGGTTCAGATCCCACCTCTTCCACTCACCAGTTGCGTGCCTTGAAACAAAACATTTCAGTTCTCAAGCTCCTACTTTTCTCAACTATGAGATGAAGAAAACAGAACCACCTATCTCACAGGGTTGTTTTCTGGATGAAATGAACTATTATAAGTAAAGTTCTTAGCACTGTGTCTGCTACTGAGGCGAGCTCACTGAGCACTTGGTAACTATATTACCTACGTGGTTACACAGTCCACACCTGGCCCTCCAGTGGAAGGCAGCCTGCACTAGGCTAGACGAGGGATCAAATGATTTTAGGAATGGAGGGCACCTGACAGTAGTGATGTTTCAGATGAATGACTTCAGTCAGTACTCTAGGCTATTTTCATCTTTCGTCTCCTACTGGAGAAATAAATTAAGGATACATAAACAGGAAAAACAAATGCTAGCTTTTATTTTTTCTATTTGCAGTAAGCTTTACTAATTTGGAAACTGCCCTCTGAAACAAATGGAGAATTGTTTCACATTCTCTTAGAAACCTGTTATGAAATGCATTGCTCACTCTTGGATCAGTGTAGTTGGCTGATAAATATTTGTTGCGCTCCTATCAGTTTTAGTACCACGCCAAGTCTTTATCTAGACAGAGCCAATGTACATTTTCCTGGAAACCAGCCAATTTTAGGAGTAAGATTCATTTCCCTTGGGAGGCCTCTTTGTGTTACTGTTATTGATTTTCCTGCCAGCAGTCACAGAAGGTCCCTATAACTTCCTAGCTGTGTGCTCTTTTCTACTTCCAGCATTGAAAATAGCACAAGAATCAATGGGAAAGCCCATCCTCTCAAAGAAAGAGAGAGAATTAGTGAGAAATATCAAATATTCAAATATATATCAAATATATAAAGCATTCCAAAGGATGGGGGAAGAGGAAAGGGAGGGAGAAATGGAGAAGAGGTGTACTGGGAATCTTTGAGAGGTGAATTAGTTCTGCCTCTTGCTTGTGTGGTAGTCCTGGCAATCTACACAGGTGGTAAGACTGCACAGGACTACATACACACATGAACACAAACAAATAAGTGTATGTGAAACTGGTAACATATAAGTTAGATTTGTAGATTGTATCAATGTCAATTTTCTGGTTTCCTGAGTGCATTCTAGTTATAAAGGATGTTACAATAAGGGGAAACTGGGTGAGGGTACACAACACATTCCCTGTCCTATTTTTTGCAGCTCCCTGTGAACCTCGAATTATTTCAAGATAAAAGCTTTTTAAAATTCCAAGAGATGTGCCAACTTATAACTATGTGAATGTTAGCATTTACTCAAAGGTATTGTGAGGAAAACCATTTCTTCATCTCTCATCAGCTAGTCGAGTGAATAATGGTCAGTTTTCTCAATACCATGACCCTGATAAATAATCACAACTCAAAAATAACATAATTTGCTTCACTTCCAATTTAGTATTATGCACTGGCTACCCACCCCCACCCTTAACCTAGAAATCTCTTGCTACAGAGAGCAGAATAGAAAGGGGGCAGGCAAGCTTCCAAACACGTGGACAGGAAAAACAGGTATGGAAATGTAATGGAACTGAGGGGAGGTGGTTTTATAACTCTCATTGGCCAAAACAGTCAAGGAAAGATGACCTATGTCCTCTCTCACTCTGGTCTAGTGCTCTCACTGCTGTATGACTCACTAAAACATCTTCTCATCTGCATCAGTGACCCCACAATCTTTTGCTAATTGTACATGTTTGAAAAATAAGTCTGTTTCCTTGGTTTATTTTCTACAAGGAGATCAGGGCAACTTTTCCCTAAATCCATAATTTGTTTAATTTCTTCATTCATTTATTGAACATTTTTCTTTTTTTTTTATTGAACATTTTTCAAGCTTCTATTTAAAAAAAATAATAAGGAAAAAATAGGAGATGGCTCCTTCTCTCAAGGAGACAGACATATTAATAATATGAATATAGAGCTATGGATACATATGCCATAGAACTGTGGAGGAAACATTAAGATGCTGGAATTCCACAGGGAGAAGCCATGGGAAAATCCTCACATAGTAGGTCCTCCCTGAGCTGAGTTCTAAAGACGGGGTAGGAGTTCACGAGGTGAAGATGGTGGAGGAAAGGCAGTCCAGGCAGAGAGAAAAAATTTGGAGTCATAAAAAAAGTGTGGATTGCCAGTTTGGATGTATGCATTGAGAAATGATAGAGTAATTTGTACACAGGCTATGAAGAACTTTGTATGCCATGCTTAGGACATTGGATTTTATCTTCAAGGCAGTGAGAACCTAAGTTTTCTTCTTGTTCACTTGTTTACATGTTAATATGGTACTATCATGTAATAATACAAATACATACAAAAATAAAATATCCCATAATAATATATAAATAGCAAATACAAGAAACTATAAATATATAGAGAATAGTACATTTAGGTTAGCTTATTAACATTATTATGTGAATAATCTTTTTTGGTAGTTTATTACAAAACAAAGAAAATGTCTCCCTACTACTTTTCTGGCCTTAGAAGTATTTTTCATGGAATAGAGCTACTTTGTTTTAGAAGCTATGACTTCCTTACAAACAATGTATCAAACAAAATAAATGCAAGTCCAGTACTTTCAAGTAACTGCTTCTTTGCTGAGTGCCGCTCAGAGCATTTCAAGGATAGAGGGCTCTGGCAAGGCCTGGCAAGACAGAGGCAAAATACTTTTTATTAATTAAAAGCTCATTGAAAACATTGAAAAATTTAGGGGGTAGTGTCCAATATATAACATCCATTGGTAGCAAGTATTTTAGATTTATTTGGATCTTAAAGTGCTGTTTTAAAATATTATTATTAGAACCAGATTTCTGTTTTTATTTTTAACTAGCTTTCCAAGCATTGATCATGAGACTCTTACACCTTCGTTAGATAGTTATACACACAGAGCAGGCACACAAGAGTTGTCTGGGTGAGAAGCAACTCTGGAAAAACCCACTCCGTAATTTGGAAGGTCTGTCCTTGTAACATCTGCCTTGGGCCCTCATTTGGAACCAACTGTGAACCATTTGAGGGGTTCATGCTGTGTAATTCAGCAGGGTCTTTCTTGCTGAGAATCATTTTCTTCTGGCTGTGAAACCAGGAGCAGTTTTAGCTCCTCCCAGAGATACCTTTCTTTATGAGGTTCTCCCTAGAGTCCTCCAAAGTAAATATTAGGGATTCTCCATAGTTGAAGTCAGACCACTGGGGCAGCCCGAGTGGCTCAGTGGTTTAGCGCCGCCTTCGGCCCAAGGCCTGATCCTGGAGACCTGGGATAGAGTCTCACGTTGGGCTCCCTGCATGGAGCCTGTTTCTCCCTCTGCCTGTGTCTCTGCTCTCTCTCTCTCTCTCTGTCTCTCATGAATAAATAAATAAAATCTTTAAAAAAAAAAGGCCACTGGAAACAAATATTTGGAATTAGATGAAAATCAACGCACCCACTTTTAGTGATTTAGTAACAGAAAAACCATGCATTTAATTTATAAATCTACTTTCCTTAATAAATAAGAACAACAATATAAATTTACCTTCCTTAACAACAACCACAAAAGACAACAAAATAACAACAAAAGAGATCAACTTACAAATAGATACAAGAGGGATGGAGGACAAGAAGAGGTGGCTTTTGCAAAAGACTGAGAAATGATCAGGCCCTGAATGATAGTTCTGATGGGCTTGGAGAGGGGAAAGAGCAAATCCATGGAAAATGTAGGAAAATACAGGATGTGGAACTGACAAGTTAATTGGCTTACTAGATAATTGAAGAAGAGGGAAGAGAAACATTAGGCACTTCTCCATGCTGGGCACTGAAGTTGATCCTTCACTTACATAAGAACATTTCATTGGCCCGCAGATCTGAGAGGCAGGTTTGATTAACTCTATTTTACAGATT